TTCAGTTTTCCTCCTGATTTAAAATGGTGTTCAGTTTTCTTCCTCTTTTACAATGGTGTTCAGTTTTATTCCTGTTTTACAATGGTGTTCAGTTTTCTTCCTGTTTTACAATGGTGTTCAGTTTTTCTTCCTGTTTTTACAATGGTGTTCATTTTCTTCCTGTTTTACAATGGTGTTCAGTTTTATTCCTGTTTTACAATGGTGTTCAGTTTTCCTCCTGTTTTACAATGGTGTTCAGTTTTCTTCCTGTTTTACAATGGTGTTCAGTTTTCTTCCTGTTTTACAATGGTGTTCAGTTTTATTCCTGTTTTACAATGGTGTTCAGTTTTCCTCCTGTTTTACAATGGTGTTCAGTTTTCTTCCTGTTTTGCAATGGTGTTCAGTTTTCTTCCTGTTTTACAATGGTGTTCAGTTTTCCTCCTGTTTTACAATGGTGTTCAGTTTTCCTCCTGTTTTACAGTGGTGTTCAGTTTTCTTCCTATTTTACAATAGTGTTCAGTTTTCCTTCTGCATTACAATGGTGTTCAGTTTTCCTTCTGTTTTACAATGGTGTTCAGTTTTCTTCCTGTTTTACAATAGTGTTCAGTTTTCCTTCTGCTTTACAATGGTGTTCAGTTTTCCTTCTGTTTTACAATGGTGTTCAGTTTTCCTCCTGTTTTACAATGGTGTTCATTTTCCTCCTGTTTTACAATGGTGTTCAGTTTTCCTCCTGTTTTACAATGGTGTTCAGTTTTCCTCCTGTTTTACAATGGTGTTCAGTTTTCTTCCTGTTTTACAATAGTGTTCAGTTTTCCTTCTGCTTTACAATGGTGTTTAGTTTTCCTCCTGTTTTACAATGGTGTTCAGTTTTCCTCCTGTTTTACATTGGTGTTCAATGTTCCTCCTGTTTTACGATGGTGTTCAGTGTTCCTCCTGTTTTACAATGGTGTTCAGTGTTCCTCCTGTTTTACAATGGTGTTCAGTGTTCCTCCTGTTTTACAATGGTGTTCAGTGTTCCTTCTGTTTTACAATTTCAGTAGTTAGTAACCAGTTCCAGTAAACCGGTTAACCAGTTACAACCTGTCCGTTGCTCAACGACCAACCGTCTTGAGTCCACGGTCTGTGCTGAGCTGACACTATTTCAAAAGACCCACTACGGGGTACTGGCCAGCCGGCTAGTCAGTATTACGAGTGTAACCAAGGAGATAGGTAACGGCTGAGGGCTCCCTCCACATAACTGCAATTATAAGTAATAAAGCCTACGTGGAGTTTTTCTACCCTAATCCCACGTTATCGAATCCCACTCCCACTATGATAAATGGTGGGCAGCGGTGGGATGCGTGGATTTTCGTATTTAAGGGGTATTTCAAGGCGTGTTGAAGACTTGTTGTGGGTAGACTGCAGGGTCATAGGTGAAAACCTCCAGACACCGCTCGACCCTCGCGCAACTCCAGCCACCAGCAGTCGCCTACTCCCCTCAAACCTATTGCTGCAAGCTGTTGCAAGCCTTTTCAAGCTCCTGGCTTAGTTCGTGTGCTAATTGCTTCAATCTACGAGGGGTTGACCGATTTTGAATTAAGCCAGTCAGTAAGCCAGATGTGGGAAGTGAAACGCCAGACAGCCTATCATCCAGCCTGTCTCCTGTCATTCCAACTGCTCCTCCGTGCTTTGTGCATCGTTACACGTCTTCAGGTCATCCGTTTATCGTGGGCGTAAGCCAGTCAGCCAACCCAGCTTCTAACCCAGCTGCGAGAGAGAAGTAAGCCACGCAGTAAGAGTTACAGCCAAGTTCCTCTGAAGTTTTGTTTATATCGCTTTGTGCTCCTGTTGGTATGCTAAGAGTGGTTTTTACCATTCCTGTGCATAGAGTGGTTTTCAGCCAACTTCGTGGGTGAGTGGGGGGTGAGCGGCAGACCCAGCGTCCCCCCCCACCATCTCTCCCACCACCGGGGTGCGCGGCAGTACCCCAGCGAGTGTCAAACCCACCACTCTCTCCCACCTCATGATTTACCCTTATCCAGAAACAAACAACCGACTGGAAGGTTAGCTAGATGGACCTTGCTATCCAAGAGTTCAATCCAACTTGTGCATTTACCTGCAAGTCAAATGTAAGTCGCAGATGCCTTATCGCGACATGTTAGTATAGTAACTGCAGACCCTCCAATTTAGTGCTGAAAGATGTAAAGAATTGCTCAACGAACAGATCCCATGTGGTCTGGTGTGATTCGATTTCCTGCTCAGGAAGATCTTATTTGATGTGAGCCACCAGCACCCATCAGTGACTTTGTCATGAACCAAAGAATTACTGTTAACGAACAGCCGAGCTGGGTACTGCAACTCCGTAGCGTACCAAGCGGTCAGCACTGGTTAATTCTGTCAATACATCATTGTTCCACCTATACCTTCAGAATTGCGGGATAGTTCCGATGCCTAAAGGTTCCAAGGACGCCTCAGATTGCCTTGAGTGCTCAACACTATCCCTTGCAATGCTGCTAGTTCGAGTTAGAGTGTCTCCACAGGGGGACGCCTTGTCGGAAAAACAATTACTTGCAAAATAGTAATGCCATCTCTTGTTGATGTCACATGCGTCTGCGAAGACGTTTCTGTTGCGGCTAGTGCTGCTCATAGAGTGTCTGTAGTTGTTCCTAGTGTTACAGATGGGTGCTAACGTCCTAGTTGACAGTGATTCCTGCAAAGTAAAAGGTCTATTTTGTTGAAACCATCTTACATGTTGTACGTGATTGTAAGATCCCATTTCTACCTGGCCAACACTTCTGGTCACAGTGTTCGCCTTAGAGCCAAATACCAAATCTTGTTGACATTGTTCTCTATCCTACCGGTTCAGGTAGAGGATGAGTTGTCACCTGACCAGTGGGTCGGTTTCTATTTCTGCCGGGGAGACCTCATCCACCTCACTGGCTCAAATTCTGTTCCACCAGTTGAGGTGAAAGACTTAGCTCCACTGACTTCCAGATGAAGTCGAGCTTTTGTAGACTATGTTGAAACAAACGTCGTTAAATCATGCTTTTACCAGGTGAGAAGATGGGTATAACGAAACTTATTGTCCATCGTATTCCACTTGAACATGGGTTACTAGACCTATCTTACCTACCTGCGTACCAGAATGCCACATTCACAAGTTGCTGTCGCAGAAGAATTGATCAATCAAATGCTTGATGAATGGAGTTATTGCCACCCTAGCAATTTCACCTTGGAATGCCACCCTTGATACTGTACCTAAGAGGGATGCGTACTTGGCGTCCAGTAATTGCTTTAGGAAGTTAAACGCAAAAACCATCCAGATCGCTTTCCACTCCCTGTATGGGTGATTTTTACGAAATATTGGAGTAACTAAGTCTTTTTCAACCCTATGATATGTTAAAGGGTTTTGGCAAGTACACCTTCACGAGGACAGCCAAGAGCTACCTGCATTTCTCCACTCCTACAGGTCATTATCCACTTCCTCCGCTATGGCTTTTGGATTCGATCTTCCCGATCACGTTCTCAAGGCTCATGACTAATAACTTTAGAGGTTCATAGGTAATGCACTTTATGGTTGTACTTAGTGACGTAATCGTCATTGTTAAAGACGTGGATACACACTTGAAAAGACTTGAAGTAGCTACTTGGTAAGCTTGATAAAGAAGCCATTTTAAAGATCAATACTGTCAAAATGTCAATTTTTAGATCAGAAATTATGTTTCTTGGTAAGTTGTCACTCCTAGAGGGGTTTAAAAGGGGTTACGCTGACAAAGTAAAAGTAAAATGCAGTACTAAATTTTCCAAAATCCCAAAACTGCTGATGCCGTTAAGATACTTTGTGGGCTTAGCAGGTTTTTTTATGATCTTTCATTGCCAATTTTTCTTCCATAGCAGTCTCTAACTGAGTTGCTTAAGAAAGATGCTCCTTTTGTTTGGACCTTCCGTCAAGAATAGAGCATTCCACAATCTTAAAAGAAAAAGCTAACATCTGCTCCAATTTTGAAAATTTCCAGATTTTTCTAAGCCTTTCTATCTGACAATGATGCTAGTTCATTTGGCATAGGTGCCGTACTAGCTCAGAAGACCGATGGCAAGTACGACGCAGTTGCATTTGCTAGTCGCGTCCTTACAAAGGACTGAACGTAATTATACTGTAACTGAGCATGAAGCTTTAGCACTAGTATGGTCTTTTAATGCACTTCCGAGACATTATTTATCAGTTACTTGTTCAGTCTTGACAGATCATGTCCACTGAATACCTTATTCCAGAACAACAACCTATGGAAGGTTAGATAGATGGGACTTGGGACTATCCAAGAGTTAAATTCCACCTTTGAGCATTACCTGGCAAGTCAAATTGTAGTCGCAGCAGATGCCTCTATCGCGAATGTTTGTATAGTAACTGCAGACCTACATTTAGTGCTGATGATGTAAAGAATAGTTTTCCTACGCTTTACAATGGTGGTTTAGTTTCTCCTGTTTTACCAATGGTGTTCAGTTTTCCTCCTGTTTTTACAATTGGTGTTCAATGTTCCTCCTGTGTTTACAAAATGGGTGTGTTCAGTGTTTCTCCTGTTTTCCAATGGTGTTCAGTGTTCCTCTGTTTTACAATGGTGTTCAGTGTTCCTTCCTGTTTTACAATGGTGTTCAGTGTTCTGTCTGTTTTACAAGGTGTTCAGTTTCCTTCTGTTTTACCTTGGTGTTCAGTGTTCCTTCTGTTTTACTATGGTTGTTTCAGTGTTTCCTCATGTTTTACAATTGTGTTCAGTGTTCCTCCTGTTTTACAATGGTGTTCAGTGTTCCTCCTGTTTTACAATGGTGTTCAGTGTTCCTCCTGTTTTACAATGGTGTTCAGTTTTCCTTCTGTTTTACATTGGTGATCAGTGTTTCCTATGTTTTACTAGGTGTTCAGTGTTCTCTTGTTTTTTAAATGGTGTTCAGTGTTCATCCTGTTTTACAATGGTGGTTCCAGTGTTCCTCTGTTTTACTATGGTGTTCAGTGTTCCTCCTGTTTTACAATGGAGTTCAGTGTTCATCTTGTTTTACCAATAGTTTTTTGGGTTCAGTGTTCCTTCTGTTTTACAATGGTGTTCAGTTTTCCTTCTGTTTTACAATGGTGTTCAGTGTTCCTCCTGTTTTACAATGGTGTTCAGTGTTCCTCCTGTTTTACAATGGTGTTTAGTTTTCTTCTTGTTGTCCCAGTTCTTCCTTACTGAACACGGGTTAATTTCTTCTAAAACACCGCCTCCTTTAATGTTTTTTTCTCTAATTTATTTTCCGCCGAACCATCACTGGTTAATTTTTACAAATAATATATCTAAAAGCCAAGTCTTGTGATATTTTTATCTGCTTTCCTATATATAAAAAATAGAATATTTTAATTTTTAACTTTGTTTTCTCTGTTTCTGTCTAGTTATAATATATTCTGTAGAAAAAATGTGCCTTTTTCTCCTTTGACTTTTTCATCTGACTATAAAATTAATGTTATCTTTTGTTTTACTCTTTTTTATATGAATAGATATTTTATTATACAGTAACTTCCCTTATAAAGCCTCTCTGAAATAACATGTTTCTGTGAATGCTATTTTAGACTGTATGTAACACTGAATAGTGACTATTATGAAGACCTTTCCACTTGCTATTTAATTTTGAATGAACTTTTTCAATTCCATTTACAGAACAGCACTATATATATATAAAGAGGAACTTTATAAGATAGCTGATTGTATATAGTTTTGCAGCATTGTTAGTCCTTAAAGCTCTCTTTCAGAACTTGTCTTGTGACCTTTTAAAGGTGTGTGCTATCTCCCACCTCTTGTTTTCCTTGAAAAGTTTATACCTGATGCATTTCCACTTACTCTGCTCTAAAGGGTTACTTGCTACGTTAACTAACGAGTGTGTTGTTCCACAGACGCGGTGTAAAGTGTATATACCGGGGAGCCTAGAGTGCACCCACAGCACTGCCGCGCTCAGCAGGGGCTCCTCCTTCCTGGGCTTCTCCCTCCTGCTGGCTACAGCACTCACATTCCTCCAGGTTGTGTAGGTCAGCCTCATGCAACTACTTCGCCACAACGTCAGCATAGCCCGCTGGTCCAACACAGTAGCACCTAAACAGCGCCTACAACACTGCCTATGGAAACCACCGTCAAAGCCATACAGTGCTTTCTGTATTCATTCGTTAAAGAAAAGGGACTGGCAAGAGTATAGGGTAGTTCCCTTTTATATTCACGGTATAGCGGTTCTTAGGACTTTCTGATGTATTAGTTGCTTGAGGTCTGAAGGTCGCTTGTATGCGCTGTAATGGACATCCTGAGGTCATTACTGTATCTTCTGTAACTCAGTGAACCATCGTTATGTGAGAAGACAAGTGGGACTTAAGGTTCCTCTGGAGAATGTCCTAAAGTGTTCTTAAAATTGCTTGATGAAAACCCAAAAAATGATTGAAAACACTGACACAGAATGTCGATGTTTTTTCTTTTAATATATGGTTATTGAAAAACATCGTCAGAGATTGATGCTGGGACGCGCTGGTGTTCCTCTGTCAAAACTTTGCGGCCTAGTCTCTCGACCCATTACGTGCCTCTGTAAACTTTTGACTACCACCCACAGGATGGGTATGGGGTGCATAATTAAGATAAACTAAACTGTTCCTCAGAGAGATGGTGATATCGGCCCAGATTTCTCAACATTAATAAATTCAACACCATTGATTAATGTCTGTGGACGCGGACTTGCAAACCTGCATGTTCATAGTGTCTGTTGAGAACATAGGAGGCGGGGCACAGCATAGACTATTATTACTTTAGTAAATGAAGCGCTGAAACTGTGGGCCACAGTGTGAGGAGTGGTGAAGGCTCGCACCTCCGTCTGATAATCTAGACACAGACACGTTACCACTCAGCATACACTTATCTGTAGTGGAAGGATGACAAGGTCAAAATCCACGTGTGTTCTGAAGACTGGGACGTACTACATGTATGGGTAGAGGAGAAGCAGTACGACACCAAAAGCCGAGGCAAAGTTTCGCGTAAAGGATGCTGAGTACTTAGATTAGAAGAGGGAAATATAATTTTAGACAAGAACCAGCTTACAGGCGTCGTCTGAAGCTTTACCAGGGAGATGAGCAGGGGTTTCAAGGGAGGAACAAGAGGAGAGGGAAGCCCTAAATATGGTTCTCATTACACAAACACAGATCTGATCTAGGGCGATCCAAGTGCCTCTCTCTGTACCTCCGCCTGGTGCTAGTAGACCGCCAGCTAATGTTATAAAATAATTCAAAAAATGATAACACTAAGAAAGACGACACATATAATGGGATCATATAGGGAATTGTTAGTGTCAACAAAAGCAAAACGTAAGAGGACAAACAAACATAAGTACGGACATGATGGAGAAAAAGATAAATTCAGTATACAGCGATACTTTATCAAGACACTTGATAAAGGCCACTAAGTAAGCGAAACATCAACAAAGTATGTTATTATATTCCATTTGTGTCCTTTTTTTCAATACCAAAATTCTTTCGTGCTTTTAAAGTGCGCTGAAAAGAAAAGGGAATCAGTGATAAAGTAAACAGTGAGGGCAAGACTGGAAATAAATAATAGCTAAATTTCTCGAAGTATTGATAACAAACAATTAAGCACTGTACTCAAACATGCTTCGAAATCAATATTTACGATTTGAGTATTTTGATACCCAGATGTCGAATGCATAAATGAATTCGCAATTACAAAGGAGGGCAATGGAGAAAAAAAAGAAGAAAGGGATAAAAAAAAAGGCAATATGAGAGTAGAAGGTCAAAATTTAAAACTAAAGAAAAAACATTCCCCCATAAAAAATAATCAATAAAACATCCTAAACAAAACGAAAACCACAAAATTAAAACCCCCAAAAATTTTAAATACCTTTTCCTCAATACAAAATCCCACCCAAAAAAATCAATACAAACCCAAAAAAAATAAACAAATCCTCAAAAAAAAAAACCCCCCAAAAACATTCCCCCACCCAAACCCACCCAAAAAAATTTTTACCCATACAACATTAAACCCCAAAAAACCCCCCCAAAAACCCCCCCCCAAAAAAAATTAAAAACACCCGAAATAAAAACATTACCCAAAAAAACACCTCACCCACCCAAACAACATCCCACCCCCCACAACATCCTCACCCCCCACAACATCTTCAACCCCCCAACATCCCACCCACCCAACATCCTCACCCTAAACTCCTCACCCACCAAAAAACTCACCCACACAACTCCTAAACCCATCAAAACACCTCACCCACCCAACATCCCTCCCCCCACAAACCCTCCCCCACCCAACCCCTCACCCAACAAAACATCTTCCCCACCACAACATCCCCACCAAAAACATCCTACCCAACAACATCCTCCCCCCACACAAAATCCCCCCAACAACTCCTCACCCACAAAAATCCTCACCCACAAAACATCCTACCCCCCAACATCTCCCCCCCACAACATCCTCACCCATCACAACATCCTCACCCACAAAAACATCCCACCCACAACAACACCCAAACCATCCAACACTCACCCACCAAAACCCCCCTCACCCAACAACACCCTCCCCCACCACAACACCTCACCCACACAACATCCTACCCACAAAACATCCTCACCCACCAAAACATCCCACTCACAACAACCCCACCCCATAAAAACAAAACCCTCCCCACCACAACATCCTCACCCCAAAACCCCTCCCCCACAAAACATACTTCCCAACCAAAACCTTTTCCCCCACCACAAATCCTCCCCCACCACAACATCCTCACCCCCCATAACACCCCAAAACCCACAAATCCTCACCCCCAAAACCCATCCACCCATCACAAACCTCACCCAAACATTCTCAACCACCAAAAACACCTCACCCACACAACACCTCCCCACCACAACACCTCCCCCACACAACTCCCCCCAACCCCACCACAAAAACCCTAAACACCAAACCCCCTTCCCAAAAACCCTCCCACCACAATCCTAAAACCACCAAACACCTACCTCCCCACAAATCCTAAACCCAAAAAACTCCTCAAACCCAATTTTTTCACCACCAAAAATTCCCACCCCCCACAACATCCCACCCACACAAAACCCTCACCCAAAATCCTCACCCACCACAACTCCCACCAACCACAACATCCTCACCACAACATCTCACCCCACAACATCCCCCACCACCCAACACCTCCCACCAAAACATCCTCACCCATCCAAATCCTCACCACCACAACATCCTCACCCCCCACAACTCTTAAACCCCCACAACATCCTCACACAAACTCTTAAACCCCAAACACCCTTCACCCCCTTTAACCCCCAACCTCACCACACATCACCCACCACAACATCCTCACCCCACAAAACCCTTTACCACAAATCCTCACCCCCCAACATCCCACCACCCAAACACCTCACCCCAAAAACACCCTTTAACCCCCAACATCCCCCCCATCCAAAACACCTAGCCACCAAAACATTCTCAACACCAAACTCCCCCCATCACAACATCCTCACCACCAAAAAACCCCACCCCAAAAATCTTAACCCCCAAACACCTAAAACTACCCAACATCTTAAAACCACCAAACACCCTCACCCTTATAACATTCTCAACCATCACCACATCATCCCCACCAAACATCCTCCCCCATCAAAAAAACATCCTCCCCCACCACAAACTAAACCCCCAAACACCCACCACCAAAAACATCCTCACCAAAACATCCCACCACACAACACCCCAAACCACCACAACTTTCAACACCACAACATCCTAAACCCCCCCAACATCCTCACCTTTAAAACATCCTACCCACACAACACCAAACCACAAACATCCCCCCCCCACCAAACACCCTAAACCCACCAAAACATCCTAAACCAAAAACCCCCACCAAAATTCTACCCCTCACCCTCACAAACCCCCTCACCCCCACAACATCCTCAACCCCACAAATCCAACCCCCCAAACACCTCACCCATTAAAATCCTCACCCATCACAACTCCTCAACACCACACATCTTCAACCACCAAAACCCCAAACCCCAAAAACCCTCACCCAAACACATCCTAAAACCACCAAAACCTCACCCCTCCAACATCCCAACCACCACAACATCCCACCAATAAAAAATTAACACCCAAAACATCCCAACCCCCACAAACCTCACCCACCCAAAATCCCAACCACAAACCCTTTCTAAACCACCCAACATCCTAAACCCCACCATCTAAACCCCCAAACCCCAAACCCCCAAAACATCCCACCCCCAAACATCCTAAACACCACAACATCCCCCCAATCACAACTACCCAAAAACAACATCTACCCCCCACAAATCCTCAAAACCACCAAAACACCTCAACCACCACAACTCCCAACCTACAACTCCCACCCCAACTCCTCCCCACCAAACATATCACCCACCACAACAAAAACCACCCTCACATCCCAACCCCCCCACACCTAAACCACCAAAAATCCTCCCCACCCAAATATCCTCCCCCCCAAAACATTCTCACTCACCCAAAAACCAACCCAAACCCACAACATCCCAACCACCCCAATATCCCAATACAAATCCTTAACCCCCAAAACATCCTCAAAACCCCAAAAAACCCAAACCATCCCCCCCAAACATCCCAAACAAACATAACCACCAAACATCCCCTTTAACCACCACAACACTCAACCCCCAAAACATCCCACCTAAACCCAAAACATCCTCAACCACCACCATCCTCAACCCCACAAATCCTCAACCCCAAAAACCTCTCCCACCCAACTCCTCAACCACAAACCCCACCTCAAAACCCAAACCACCAAACATCCTCCCAAATCCCCAACCTCACAACATCCTCCTCCCCCCCTTCCTTAAAAAATTAAAACAAACAAATCACCACACAACATCCCGGGTCCCAAAAAATCGGACTCTGACACTTACCTTTCCTCAATAAAAAAAAAATTTAAAAATTTATTACCCCACTCCAAAATCGTTTAACCAAGAGCTCCTTCTCCCCGGGATCAACCCCTTTTGTATCGTGAAAGTCGTGACTAACATAAAAAACATAAAACTAAGAAAAAAGGGAACACTGCAACATCCTACTGCCCCCCGGAGCAGGTCCAGCGTCCCCCGGATTAGACCAATGACCCCCCCCCCCGGTTATTCCAAACCCCCCCCCCAGTCGGGTCACCCCCCACTCAAGGGTGGAGCATTTACCAGACCCAGCAGCCAAGCTGTCAGGTCCAACTCACCCCACCCACACCCACTCATGTATTTATTTAACCTATTTTTAAACACACAAAAGTTTTTTGCCCATAACTTACTCGGGAGTTTGTTTCCCCTCATCCACAATTTTTACCAACCATGCTTTCTTAAACCTTCCTGAAAACGAATTTTTTTCCCAAATTGAAACCCTTTCTGCGAGTCCGTCTTTGGCTGGAAAATTTTTAGCACATATTTACATCCCCTTTATTTATTCCTGTTTTCCCTTTATACACCTCGCATACCCCCCTAATTCTACGCCCTTTTGAGAGATGCAGATTCAGGTCCTAGCTATCCTCACAGGGAAGGTTTTTTGATACTGGGGTCACTTTTCATCCCCTCTGTCGTTTTCCCGAGCATTTATATCCTTCTGTAACGGGGACTGAGCAGCTAGTCTAAAGAGGGCCCAACCCAAAGGATTATAGAGTTGAAAAAACAACCTGAGGGCTTTTATTATTTTTTACTTTTTTAGTAGAAGCCTAGAAAAATTTTGTTACTTTTTTGCGAAACTGCGGCAAAAAAACATTACTACTTCTTAATGAAATGTTATTTTTAGTTTCAGGGATTTTGGGGGCAGTGTCCCCGCAAGGTGAGCGTACAGGGGTTGGTGACTCACATCGGAGGGTTTGGGGACCCAAAATGATATGTGGTGACACACTGAAGTGTTGGGACCCAAGAAATGTTTGGGGACACACATGATAGTGTTGGTGAACACATGGTATGTTGGTGACCACATTAGGTTGGTGACCCCATGATAGTGTTGGTGCCCACCGGAGTGTTGGTGCACACATGATGTGTTGGTGACCACATGGGGGTGTTGGTGACCCACATGTAGGTTGGTGACCACAGAAGTGTTGTGACCCACATGGGTGTTGGGACCACATGATATTTGGTCCCACAATTATGTTTGGGGGACCACATGTATGTTTTTGGGGGCGCCAAAATGATATGGGTTTGGGGACCCCCAAAAGTGTTGGGTGCCCATTGGTTGGTGACCCCCAAAAAATGTGGGGACCCCCCAAAGGAGTTGGGAACCCAAGAAATGTTTTGGGGACAAAATAGGTTGGGACCCCCAGGTAGTGGGTGAAAATGAAGTGGGTTTGGGGACCCCCAAAAGGGGGTAATGGGGTGTGGGAAAAGACGTGTTGGGGGACCACATAAGGTTTTGGGACCCCCAAATTAAGAGGGGGGAAAAAATTTTTGGGACCCAATGAGGGGGTTTGTCAACATTTTTGGTGACCCA